TGGCTACCCCCCATGGCATTTGTTTCTCCTGCGGCTCAAATAAAACGGTTATCTCCTCCTGCACGATCTGGTGCATCACCGCAGTCATTTCCACAAGCCCCCTGCTGCTGGAAACGCAGACTTACACTGCAAGCCTGGGTCAGGACAGGTGTGCTGTGCGTCCAGGTGGACCTCATCGCCGGCAGCGGCCCCAGCGGAGAGGCTCGCCGACGGCAGCGCAGGAGAGCCAGCGGAGACACAGGGCGAGGGAAGGCTGTGCAGCTCTGAGCCGGCTGCTGGCTGTTCCTCTTTGCGTGGGAAGAGGACCCAGTGATGCCGATGGTTCCTTATCCTACAGCCGCCCCCTCCCTCCACCACCACAGACACGCACAGCCAGTCCCGTGACGCCCAGGACCGGCCAGCTTCATTACAACGAGCCCCCCAGCTCGGAAGAGGCCGTCCCTCCTGAACCGTGTCCCGGTGGGCGGCTTTCAAACACGTTTCTCCGCTTCACGTAGGCTCCACTGGAACACGTGGGTGGGAAGGCTCGGCTCGTCTTTCCACCTCACAGTGCTCAGCCTGTCTGCTCCGAAAGGAGAAACCCATTATCTCCCGACAGCCCACTGCCTGCCCTCCGTCCCCTCTCGACCCCCGGCTGCTCCAGCAGGCAGGCTGGAATTGCATTACCGCACACCGGCGCAGAGCCGGGTTACGCGAAGGGATTTTTCTTCATTCCTTTTAATCAAACTGCACAGCAGAATCGAGGCCGTCTAATCTGCTCGGGTCTATTAGTCTCAGAGCCGCTGTGTAGAGGAGAATTAATTCCCCCCTCCTTTCCCAAGAGCAAAGGCTTTTACAAACACAATTCTTCTACCTGCACACTTAGAAGAGATCACTTATATTTCGCCTGTTAAGGTATTGCTGAACACTTTCTTCTTCCTGTAGTAAGGCTTATAAAATAAATAAAAGGAGGTTCCTCTTGAGCTGGATAAAACCACTTGTCTTGACAAGAACAGCCCACCTTGCAGAATCCAGAACTCCAACAGAGTTACTATACATTTTGAACACTAGCTTCTAGTGTATTTAATGTATTACAGGATGGCTGACAGAGTGGTAACACCTCTTCAAATGTATTTTGCATCTGCTTTTGAAAGAATGGGTCTAAATATCAACTGCACAAATACTTCTGTCAACTACAGCCAAGAGCTCAACACTAAAGTTGACTTATTAATTAATATATACTGTATGGCTCACTCCAAAGAAATTGATATTAGTATACATTTATACAGGAGAGTATGGTAGTAGAGCAGTATGAGTGACAACAGCAGTATCTCCTCTGGGTTTTGAACCCACAGCCGTCCAGATACAAGTCCAGTGCTCTGACCATTGCTCCACACCAGTGTCAGCACTTCAAAACAACAGCATCAGGATTATCTTCAAAAGACCACACTGCGGAGTTCAATCTGCAGGAGCATAATAAGAGCTGCTTACCGTACAACGTGCTGTAGTGCAACAACACAACACTAAGCTTTTTTCCCTCTCACCACAAAGGTTTGTGCATGACAAATTTACTTTCAAGCCCAAAGGGATTAAGAGAAACAGGTACCAGTATGAAGAGACTCGCTGCCTCAAGAGACTCTCTGTGCTGCTCTGGAAGAGCTGGCCAGGTGTGCTACAAGGAGATAAATTCTCCACTGAACCTCAGGCTCTGCTCTCACTATGTTGTACAAGCGTCCTTGGTAGTGAAAGATTCACTGAGTGTTTTCTGATGGAGTGAATAGGTGGGTGTCTGGGATACAAGGGACTACAGAGATCATCTGAGAGCAACGCTCCGAAGATGCAGCCTTCAGCTGCCGTGCTGTAAGACACATCTGCCCTGCAGGCTGCTCTGAAGAAGACGAAGCCCACTTGGAAAAAAGACAAAACAAGCCTTTCAAATGGGAAAAAAAAACTTTCAGCAGTAACAACACATGCATACAAAAAAGGATCTGCATGAAAGGAAATAAACACAGATGGCTCCTTAGGCCATGTCAGAAGTAACTGTAGAAATTCCTGGAGCCTGAAAGAGATCAATTATACATGAACCACATAAT